AGCCAATCACGTGAAGGTATTCGCGAGGGAAGTACGGAAGTACGTAAACATTTTCCTAAGTTCATATATTTTATACATGACGTCATTCCTTTATTTTGTAACGCAGACAGTTGAAACATCAAAACCATGTTACTGTACTTCCTAGCTCTGCGTGTGTCACATATGAAGCTCATTCTACTTTTGATTCCGGAGATCTAAGCCATTATGCCATCCGACATTTTTGTCGGATTTCTCTATGGCAAACCGGTTAAGGGTTAAGGATTAAGGTCATCCTACTCAATAACTATGAAAGGAAATGAATAAAAGCAGATAGAACCATCCTTGGCCTCAACCACGGTGGCCACTCTGAGAGGAATTCTCATCATTCACCTTTTACATTTTTAAATATCGTGAACATTAAAGGCATCTCAAGCAGCTGCGAATCATCGATGTCTTAACGAAGAAAAGTTTGTGATTATCTAGCAGTTTCATCAAAAATGCTTTCTTTTTCATTACAATTAAGAGAATTAGAGAAGACCTGTCAAGGATCCACTCGTCCTTTGTTGGAACAATTTCTACACCATTATGATCACATGGCAGGGATTATCATAATTAAGGAACTCTCGATTATGTGTGAATGTACCCCAAGTGTGGAGCCTTTGAAAATAGTTATGAGAGACTTTATTATTACTATGAACAAAACGGTTTGGTCTCCGTGTCCTCAATTCAATTGCCTGTTGAAGGGAAAAATGAATAACATCTTTCCTGATCGCTAGGAATCTCATCATATAGCTAAAATTCTTTAGAATGGACATGAAAGGATTTCGCTATTTCCTTCATCCCTCAACGATGCTGCCAAAGAATGCATAATAACAAGCATTAATTGAAAATCAAGAACGCTAACCTGAGACCCGTTGATGAGGACAAACGCGTAAGAGAAAGCTGGTGACATCTCCATTTGCAGGACGCCAAATAACCAACCGATTCCAAGGAGACTTGTCAAGGAGAAGATTCGTGTCACGTCACTCCTGTTGCCATGTAGTAACAGTAACATTGAATGTCAGACGATAGTATTTTTTATAATGAACACCGATTTCTAGTTGAACTCACTTGTGTTTTCTCTCTGGCTGATGCATCTGCATTCCGTTTGGAACTCTCTTGAGCCTTCTGGCGATGGCCAGCACGCGGAACATGAGGATGGAGTTGGCAAAGACAACCAAGAGGACAGGACCAGCAAAAGTCCAGATGTAATAAGGTGATGAGAGCCAACAGCTGCATAAATGGAATTAATGAGATTCAGGAATTAATATTTTATTGAGAATTCAAGTTCGGAAGGGCGAAGGCTGCAAAATCTAAACTTTGCAGTTCTAAGTGGTTAAATTAAGAAAGAAAATCCAGAATTCAAAAGATATTCACACCATAATATTCAAAACTATAATGCATCAAATATTCTACCCCTTTATCACCTTTGCAACATAAACTCTAAGGAGAAGCCAAAGGTCCGCTCGGCAGTATTTTTTTTCACGATTTTATTATTTTACTTAAATTTTATACCTGTGGTATCATCCTCTGCAAATTCGAAACAATTTTAAAATATGAAACTAAATACAATATAAGTGAGAGTAAAAGGATGCTCACAATTCTCCATCGCCGTATCCATGTGTTTCAGTTCCGAAGGATATTGCAACTGTCACGACAACGATGAACAGTGGTATCGAGTAGCCAATGGAGAAGTAGAAACGACGTGAAAATATTCTTTTCTGAACCATCTGGAGTAGAGTGTGCAAACGCCATCCTTCTAGGGCCATCCATGTGAAGGCGCAGAGGAAAGAGAAGTGGAGGAGCACAGCTGATACCTGACAGGCAACCTAGGAGGCAGGTTACATTAAATTTAGCAAAAAAGGTCGCTTCCTATGGCGAGTGAAGCAAAAGAAACCAGCTGCACTGTAAAATTTGCTGGCATCTTCGACAGTAGTTAACATGACCAATTATATTGCATGTGTACTAACATGCATCCTTTATAATCTTACATTTTATCCTCGTTCATCTCCAGCCGTTATACCAGACAAGCGATTTTAAAGGAGTAACTCGAAATTATTCTTGCCGTGGCACCGCGTCGCCGATCTTCAAACCCGCGGCACTGACTAGGAAAAACAATTCTTGTCTGAACCTTTTCCCCTCTGCATTACAGGAAACACTGACCGGACCTCTCATTCGTCCATCGTCAGGCAACTCACAGTTGGAATCTTTGCATCCATGGATCACCGTTTTGAGAAGGAATGTCTTCTTCCGAAAATGCAGTTCAATTTAGTTTCAACTAATCTTGGTCTACCGCTTCCTCTCGGTGAACCAGTTGTCTCGCATCTTATGAAATAACGATAGGCGCGCCAGAAAATCCTCCAGAAAATTCTCTCAAAACTGTTCACCCATCAATCATTTAGCAAAGGGTATTACGTCGATGGACAGACATATGAGCACTGGTTCGAGATTGGTCCGCACAAATAAAGCCTATGGCATTTCGGGCAAAAAAAAAGTCATATGGAATAAATTTAAATTCGAGTATTCGAGTTGCTTTCGCAAAATCACTTATGGTAAACTGGCTAGGGGAAATGGGAAAGAATATTGAGACATTTGTGAATATACAGAACGAGTCTTGTGAGTATGAACAAGATCTTATGTAAATCGTAATTTCCATCGTAAATGTGCACATAAAGATGTAGAGACATCTAAGCAGCTGACTATTAGGCAATGTGTCCAGAAAGTGACACCATGGGGACACGTTTGAAAGACCTTTCAACAAGTATAAATTCATTGGAGATATGATGCCATTGCATAACGTACCCTTCCCTATTGTGAGGGACAATGGTCTACAGAGGGTATTGCACGTAGTAGTACCATGACAAAATTATTTCCCCAAAGTTCATCTACGAGACAAGGGTTCCCTTTCCAGGATCTCATGATACGGAGGGGATAAGCAGCCTGTTTATAGATTTGTTCAGTGAATGGGGGACATGCCATGTCAAATTACATTGTCTGGTGAGTGAAATTAGAAACTGGGGATTATTAGAAATAATTAAATGTTGAATTATAAATTCAGAATATTTTAGAACTAGTACATAGTTGCCATTGTGATCGTTTTACGAGAACTCGGGTCAAAAGAATATTGAGACGTTTGTGACCCGGCCATATGACCCAGAATGGCGTATGATGGTCATTAAGTCCCGATCCATTTATATAAGAAGGTTTATTTTTCTCCTTTGTTTCAGGGTGGACTAGACGAATGCTAGGTGTAGAGGAAAGGGTGGCTATCGTCAGCGCGCGTTTACATGGATTGACATACGAGTAAATACGACAAGAGTTTACGCGAAAATTTGGAAAACCCTGTCCGACGAGAGCGAATATCCGAATACTGGTTAACAAATTTCAAAGAACGGAAATGAGGAACGTTCGGGTAGACCATCCATATCTGAAGAAACCGTGGAACGAGTTCAACAAGCTGTGGAACGTAGGCTGAGTGCATCAAGTCGTCGTCTAAGTAACGAATTTGGCATACCAAAAATACCGCATTAAAATTTTTACATTCTAAGCTGAAAAAAACGGCCCAACCACATTCAGGTGCTCCACAAATTAGAAGCTGAAGATTATGCAGCTCGTCAAGCTATGTGCTATGACCTTCTTGAGGCCGTGAACACCACAAGCCTCATGCATAGCATTTTATTCAACGATGAGGCCACATTTCACGGCAGGTTAACAAGCACAATTGCCGAATATGGGCTGAAGAGCAGCCAAATGCAACCTATGAATGGCTAAGAGACACACCAAAAGTGATTGGTTAAGTTTCACAAAATCTGAAATTTATGGCCCGTTTATATTCTCAGAAAAAAATAGTTTTTTTGGAAATAATTACCTGGAAATATATTACGACAGTTTTTGTAGCCACAACTGAGGGATGATGGAATCTTTGATACAGTTGTTTTTCAACAGGATGGGGCACTTCCTCATTTTGTCAAAAATCGTGCGAGACTACCGCAATGAAACATTTCCTGGCAGATGGATAGGTAGAAGTTCGCAAAGACTATGGGAACCACGTTAACCCTACTTGACATCCTTAGATTTCTTCGTGTGGGGCTTCATCAAATCTAAGGTGTACAGATCAAAGGTTAATACCATCCCAGATCTTAGAAATCGCATTTACACTGCAGCCGAGACCATTACAGCAGATAGGTCACCAAAGGTTTTCCGAGCGACAGTGAAACGTTGGCAACAGTGTTTCGAAATGGAAGGTGGCCACGTTGAATTGTATTAAAATGCACTATATATACGATGTTGATCGACCTATAAAGCATTTATCACAATATTTCGTTTCCAAAAAAATGGATCGGGAATTTACGACAACCCCGTATAACGCGCGAGGCCTACAAGGCGACGCCATTCTAGGCCATACGCTAGGCAAAAAGTCTTTGAGTATAATTTTACAAGACAATTCATGTATAAACTCATCAATCGGGTGTCTCAGAATTGACTGTACTCAGGTTTTCGATCAAGCATATGTCCTAGAAAGGATATTGGCAGAATTTGTAGGCCGCGTACATTAGGCTAAGGTAGCAGAGCCCTAGATGAGAGCGGCTTAGATAAGAAACCTCTTTTGATCTCCCACCTCTCGGACACTAAATTATTGTTGAACAATCTGTATCCTGAACAAATAATTTGTAAAAGGCGCGCACTTATTTTTTAACCTGTTGCCTTTCTCAGCATTTGTATTAATAGAATATGATAAATATACTCTCACACGAGTTTATAAGAACATTCAGGATCTGCTTTGTACCGATGATAGCAGGAAGAAGCGGCGGTCGATGACGAAAAATACTAGAAGGTATCCTATCAGTAGCCAGAAACACAGCTGCTGGTGCACGTTTAAAGTCAGATCGTGGTCCCTCGTGGATTTCCTGAAAATGTCAATTTCAATAATATAAGGACGTGATTTGCACGAATCACCTTCTTAGTCAGGCATTCCATGAAACTTACTTGCTCTTCTGAAAGATGAAGATCGCCACTGCGAGGCAGATGATGGAACTGGGCAGCAACGTCATCGTAAGCAGTTCCAAAATCCAACCACGACCCTGCATGTAGGTTATTGTGAAAAGTCACCGCTTGCCGTCTCAGAATAATGAATGAGTGCAATAATTCCAATTTACAGTTACTTATTTTCTCTTGGAACTGTGATCAATTCCAGCATACGGAAATGACGATGGTGTGGCTGATATGATCGCTCTGGGGTGGTTTTGGCTAAGGGGAATAGAAACATGGACTCACCACGTAGCCATGTACACTCATCAGCACAACAAAATTGGTGAAGTGCTTCGTTCGGCATATTGTGTCATCATCATCTGAAGATACTTCTTGGAGACCCTCATCATCCCAGTAGCCTCTGCAACATAAATTTTTTGAAGACCATTTTAGCGGAAACATTTCCTTAATGAATTTTTGATTAATTAGCATTTTCTTACGTTTCATTGAAGTTCCAAAAGGCGCATTTATGAGTCTGACGAATGAAGGATGGCTTCTCTCCTTCATGAAGGTTTCGCCAAATATCCTTGTACCATGGACTTTGTGGCGAACGGGCATTCCGAAATGTCAAAGTGGCTGGATCGGTGAGGTATACCGTCTCATTGATTCTCAATGAGAAGCTAAGCAGCTTGGAGTTCGCAACTTTATGTTCCCCAAATCTGAAAGGTAAGTTGTTTTTGGTGCCACAGTGCCTTACCCACTGCACCTAAGTTCAAGAGAGAGAGCTCTCATGAGAACACAAAATGTGAATCGCTTCATCTTTTAGAGAAAATGTTGGAACCACTTTTGGCATGGGAGATAGCTAGAACTCTGCCCATCCAAGGCATAGAGAAGTCCATAAATCATACTATGACATTTTCGCAGCAAAGTGAGGGGCAGGTTCAGGAGTATCTCAACCGGACTTTGCATGTGCCACCTAAATACTAACATGTACGATAGGTTCTCATGTCACGTCTTCGTACAATTAAGTGAATTTTCAGTCCACAAATTTCCGACATGGCAATCACGTTCGTACTGACTGCCACAGTGACATCACGCCATATTACAATGTAGGCTAGCAAAGACTTTTGCATATTTTCATGAGCAAAAATTTATTTTTTTAAATCGGTAAAATACCTAATTTCACTTGGATGAGGCTGTGGAAGTGAAGACTGCTTCGTGGGCAATCCCATACGACAATAATAGAGAAAGTGCTTCAAGTTTCCGTCTAGAATTTGGTAAGGAACTACCATGCCATGAAAGAATCCATGCCTGGAGACGTAACCTACTAGAAACAGGAACTGTGAATGACTTGAAGCACGCAGGTAGACTACGAAAAACCACGGATACTGACGCTAAAGCACAAGTGTAACTGGCTTTCAACAATGGCCCAGGAAAGTGAACTAGGCAGGCTGCAAGAGTGATGCATATGTCAATGTCATCATTTGTGGGAATTCTTGAACGTATGATATTTTATTCTGAAAATCCCATCTACAAGGTATGTCCAAGAATTCATCGAAGCACAAAAAATCCTTTTCTCAAATGAAGCCGCTTCCTACGTTCATGGTGCATTCAACTACCACAACTGCCATTATTGGGTCGAAGAGAATCTTCGTGTCATCAAAAAGAGACGAATAAGAGCGGGAAGCTTGACATATCGCAATGCACTAAAATAAATGGTGGTGTCACTGTTTAAGGAACATTATTACAGACACCATCTTTACCAACTGGATGGTGCTCTCGCACATTATTCATCACCAGTTTGTGCAATTCCTAAAGGGAATCTCAGTGGTCGTTGGATTGAGTGGCCTTCGAGGCCCACAGACCTTACTACTGCAGAGTTTTGCCAATGGGAACACCTGAAGGAACGAGCTTATGCCACAAAGCCAAGAAACGTTCAGTAGTTAAACGAGATGATTTTTCAGAAAATTGCTGGGAGGAAAAGTTTCATCGTGCAATGGAAGATTTTCCGAAGCGTTGCCAGATCTGCGTTAAAGTGCTTAGAGCAAAAGGTTGAGACGGTAAGATGACTTAGAATGCGTGAAATACGCACTTTTGCTTTTACAGAAAATTATTATGATTAAAATTAGGTATCAGATGCGATTTTATGCGTTTTAATCATTATCTACAGTCCTTCAAACTTGGGGCTCGAGGACTAATCTCAACTCACGAATTTTCGTGTCCCGGTAGCAGTTCATTTAGATCCTGGACGTGGTAGACCACTCCGACATAGGAGTAGTAGTCATCGTCGATATTATCCTGAAAACTTGATGGCAAACTTAGATATGTGTCGCTTGCAGATGAGGGAAAGACGACGGGTCCGGTCAAATTTTCTTTTTTCCGAGTGCCGATTTCTATTACCAAGGTCGTCGTTGCCTCCTGGAATTCCAGTTCCGTATTATTCAGAAGGTAGAGTTTTTGCGACAACTGAAGGCTCGATTCGGCAAAGTTTGACGCCAGAGAAGTAAACTTTTCGGTTCGCAGCATCTATGGAGAGGGGGGGGGGGGAAGATTTTCCAAAAACTTTTCAGGTTTGCTGAATTTCGGCACAGGTTTTTGACATCCCAATTTAATTTCATATTTACCACTGCTGCACATGGATATGTTATGCGCCCCTTCTCCAAAACCAGGTATAAATTACATTTACGTCAAGATGTGCTTTCAAATACAGCACAGAGTATTTGGCTGGCATGGAAGCTCTGCATTAACCAAACATGACATTATTACAGGCTTAGGAGGGTGTATTTTGGACGCGAATATACAGGGTGCGGCAAAAGTTTCGTGACAGATGTAACGATGTATTGTTTTTTTATTTTTGCAATTTTTTTTATTTCTGTAAATGCAGTTTTCTTTGTCTCATCAGCCACTTCATTTTTTTTCGCCATATTTTATTCTTTCCCCTGTTATGGATAAAAATTACTTTTCATCTGTCACCAATTTTTTGCCGCACCCTGCATGTACGACAAAGGTCAACGATGAGACTGTTTCGAGGCAGGAATCTCTACGATAGGGTTTCCCCCCCCAGACTGTTAAGCATCTCTCACCGGTGTTATCTCGAGCCAGCCTTTGAAGGAGATGAGGACTTCATCCATGGTTCGAGTAAAGTTGGTCAGAAAGTCCTGGCTTTTGTTCAGTGGATCGGGGTAATTCCCGAGCTTGTCGAGAAAGTTATCAAACAAAGGATCAAGGAAGTCGACCAAGTCTCCAATATCACTCCCTGTGAGTTCGTCTTGATCCTCAATGGTGTCCGTGAGGTTGTCCAGGAGTTCTAGCGGATCCACCGTGCCCAACTAGGACGATGATATGTATTGCTTGTTAAATGTCACGTAAGAACAGCTATCATGGTTCCAATATTCATATGGAACCTTTATATGCTATTCTATTGACAATATATCACCTTCGAGTGCTATTCACGCTGCACCTGTAAAATCAGGGAGTTTCTCATTTAATATCGAGAATCGGAGGGTTTGTGAGTAGGACTATTTCCTTTTTTCCCTCCGAACGTTGAAGCTTTGATCAGGAGTAGCTGAATGAAACTCGTAAAAACTTAGATAAAGCAGATATAGATATGTTGCGACACGTGAAACATAGTTTTAGTTTTAGTCTTAGTTTTTCTATTACCATTAAAACCCTTTTGATCTCAGTTGGGACAGGGTCCAACTGATTTAGGGAGTCTGTTAGATAAATGCACTTTACGTGGGCCACGCAAAAAGTTCGTAGACGTAGCTAATATTGTCAAGAGAGAATGCTTATATCTTCTCACATGCTCCTTGGGTGGTTTTGTAACTTTCCATCCTCACGTATTATTGTTGCAACCAGTTTTGTGTCTCTAATGGGACCTTTCGTTTCCTACCATTGAAAGTGGTTGTGCCTCTACCAGTAGACTAAAACCGTCTGCTCAAGTGTTAATCGAACTGCATCATAAACCATTATATCATGTAGTTAAGAGGCTTTATATTGAGTGACTTCAATGTCAGACCACAATTTTATCACCCAGTCTTCAGGATGAACAAACTAGGGAATGGATTAAATATCAGATAGTAATGTGCAATCAAATTTTCAATGGTTTACCTTTTTTCAACCACCCCCCTCCCCCGAAGAAACCGAAGTTCATTATTGCATTATACTCATCTGATGGCGAAGAGGACATGTCATTCCCTGTCCTGGGGGATATCTGACAAGAAAACGAAGTTGTGGATGTAAGACAATTGCCCAGAAACCCATCTCGAGCAAAACGTATATTTCTATTGACCGGGAAACCGTTGCTGCAGACGCGAGACGATTGTCTAGAAACCTAGCCGGAGCATACTGTATCTTGAATTTCAGCTGCTTCACCATCAATAGTAGCTTTCCTTCCCGGATGACGACCTGAACGAATCACGCGCTGTACTGAAGCTCATGCGACATTCAAGTCATTCCTGATTGGTAGGTTTTGCGTCGCGATCACGTTCCTGGTGAGACGGATGGAAGAGCCCCTCCACATCTTTCACGTTTCCCTCGCGTTTTAAAACTGCTGGTGACGTCACCAGTGACGTCAGCCGTCCTTCTAAGAATGGGTAACCAAAACTCCGTACTATAATTGTGGAATCATCTGTTGAACACTGCTGGGCTGTTCATTTTGAAGCGGAGAAAAGCAAGCTTCGGCACAATTGTTATCGTAATGGTAATGTGTTCCACTCTCACCCATTGGAGTATCCGCCAGAGTTCAAAACGCTGTTGAAGCGAGAAGATGCAAGGCCTCACAAATTTCACGAACTTATAACAAGCAGTACAACAACAAATACGCGTTTATTTCCTTCGATGCAAGCATCTTGATATTCCCATTAACAACCACACTGCTTTAAAATATCCGGCAAGATCACCTGACTACGACCTATGTATAATACAACCTTTTCATGATGTCGTTCCTCCGCTAAAGAAAATTGAGGAAATAGCGCATGCTCAGTTCCACGTTTGCGATGCGGATGGAGCGATTCACATGCAGCAGCGCATGAAAATTCGTAACGGGGAGTATGAAAAGCACCCCAGTTTCTGGCCGGTCTCCAGTTGTTGGCCCGTGATGCTTAAATCCAGCATAATTAGTTAATCTGGGCGTTTACAAACGTTCTATCGACATCTTCCCGTACGAGGACCGATTGCTAGTGCTTCCCGGCGTGCGCACAGGGTGTCTACTTCCTACGGGAGTCGTATCAGCGCGGCCAAAAAGCTGGGGTGTTTATCCTACATAGCTGATTCTTCATCGATGGACCAGGTGGCATTGGTAAACCATTCCTGTACGCCACGCTCACTCCCATATTGAGTAGAAGAGGACTGAATGTTAATGAGTGCTGCGTGAACTGGCATTGCAATTCTACGGACTGGTGGTACGAGGGTCACTCAATAAGTTATCTACCTGAATATGAAAGAAACATCCGAGGGGAAAAATAACACTTTATTTTTCAATGTAGTCACCTTTTAACTCAACACACTTATTCCACTTTGATTCCAAGGATTTTATTCCCTGGGAATAGAAGTCAACTTCTTGTCCATCAAACCAATCAGAAACGGCAACTTTCAGCTCTTCATTGCATGAAAATCTTTTTCCCCGCAAAAATTTTTTCAAGTGTCTGAACAGAAAATAGTCACTAGGAGCCAGATCCGGGCTGTAGGGAGGATGGTTGAGCTCCTGAAAGCCACACTCCCTCACTGCTGCCTGAACTTTCCATGATTTGTGGACGGGCGCGTTGTCATGGAGAAGAAGGACCCCCCTTGACAACTTTCCTCTGCGTTTTTCCTTGATGGCATCATGTAAATTTTTCATGGTGGTAGCATAGGAATCGCCAGTGATTGTACACTCGTCTGGCATGAACTCAAGCAGCAGTAGTCCCTCGCTGTCCCAAAACACAGTGGCCATAATCTTTCCTGCAGATTTCTGAACACGAAATTTGCGAGGCGTTGGCGATCCCTTGTGCTTCCACTGCATGGACTCCTGCTTGGTTTCGGGATCCCAGTGATGAACCCAAGTTTCATCACCAGTTACTATTCTGGGAAAAAAAGTTTCCCCGATTTGTTTAGAAAACTCCAAGTTTTCCTTGCAGATGTCAGATCTGTTCTTCTTCTGAGCTGGAGTCAGCATTCTTGGGACCCATCGAGAACTGACTTTGGACATGTGTAATTTTTCATGAATAATGTGAATCACTGTGCCCTCTGAAATCCCCAGTTCATGAGCTAAAACAGAGACTTTGGTGCGACGATCCTCCAGTATCGCACTCTCCAATTTGTCACACATTTCCTGATCAGAAGCCTCCACAGGGTGCCCCGACCTTGGGTCATCAATTGACTCTCTTCCCCACTTAAACTGTTTGCTCCAAAATTTAACTTGGCAATAAGAAGGCGAAGACACATCATAAAGGTTAGACATACGTTCATGAATCTTCTTAGGTGCTTTCCCTTCCTTGGTGAGGAATTTCATCACTGAACGATGTTCAATTTTCGTCAAATCCATGACACAGACTCATGAAAAGAATTCTAATGCGCTACCACTTTGAACGGACTTGATCCACTGAGCTGGTATAATGGTGGGGTACTCACGAGACCTGTCGAGACATGTCACAGGAGGCACAGGCCTGTTGCTCATCCCATTCATATTCAGGTAGATAACTTATTGAGTGGCCCTCGTATGATATGTCTCACGGCCTTTCACTTTCTATTGGATCTGCTCAAGCATAAAACATGTCGCTTGTCGCGAAAAAAATCAGCCGATGATTCGAGCTACAAACGTCATCATTTGGGATGAAGCGCTGGCAACGTTCGAAAGGGAGTCGCAAGATTCAATGGACGATGACCGATTCGGTGGCAAAGTAAATATGCTCGGAGGTGAGTTTCGCCAAGTGTTGCCAGTTGCCCGCAAAGTATCTCGCGCTCAAATCGCCAAGACTTGCATCAAAATGAGCTTGGTGTGGCCATCGTTCTGGACGATTCGTCTGACAGAAAACATCCATGCTGTTGCAAACGAAATTTATTTTGCTCAATGATAGCTCGATGTGGGCCGCGGAACAATTCACAGAATACATTGCGGTCGACCTTGGCTTTTCGTGCTTTTACCAGACGATTGTATCTCCGATAATTCTGTGAATGAGCCATTTCGACGACGGCATAGGGTTTGGAGTGTTCATGTGAGGAGCAAGTGCGCCACTCTGTCTCAAGAATGACCACTCCTGTTTGGTCACTGAGGAAGTATCATACCGATTGCAAGGCGAAATGCGAAATTATCGCAATATCGACAATTTTAAGAACGATCATGTTGATGATGAAAATTAGCAGGTCAATTTTCCGGTTGACTTCCTCAACACTCTCAATCCGCCGGGCCTACCCCCATCCCCGATTGTAATGTTTAACATTACAATCGGAGGCATCTGCGAAATCATTTAATTGGGAACACCCTTCGCAACGTCACACATGATCGTGAGAGATACGAACGCAAATGCCGAATAAGTCGAGGTGATCATGGATGCGTTTCGTGGCAGCGTTCATTTGCTGTCAATCATGCATGTCTTCATGTGGACATATCATCCGACGTCACCACACCGTTCGATCTCCGTCGACGTCGATTCCCTATCGTCCCTGTCCATGATATGACAAGTCTCAGAGGTCAACATTTGAGCGAGTCGGACTACTTCTCTCGGAGCATGCATTCACACACGGGCAATTGTATATTGCCCGTTCGTGAGCTTACTCTGAGAAATCGTTGAAGATTCAGGTTTTGGAGTGACCGAAGCAAGAAAAATTGATACTGGCATCGTTACCGACAACGTGGATTACGAAGAAGTGCTTCTCTGAATAGTTGGTGCTCTTTTTTATTTAGCATGAAATAAGCATCACTTTTCAATTCCATGCGTAGAGCGTTTCTTCATCATTCTTGGTTCTTACAATATTTGCCTACTTTTCACAGGTCAAACTATGTAATTTTTTTAAATAGTAAATGGCAGGTGTAGCATGCTGTGCCTCGTACTTTTTAAATTATGCATACTTGTTCCAACGTGAATTGTAGTTCAAATTTTGGCTGCTGGAATCAGGCCAAGAGAGTTCTTTTTTGATGAGCTGCGACAGTTAGTGGGTTATGCCTAGGCCTGCGAAATTAACGATCAGAACATTAATCTCAATCTTCGCGAAACCCAAAAAAGAAACTTTTCATTTTCCTCTCTGATTGCCTAAGAACTCACCTGGTCCCAGAAGTTTTCCATGATGTCGGACTCCCTCTTTTCTGTGGAAGAAATAAAAACATTTTTCAAATCAAGGAAGTATAATTTGGAAATAGTTTTATCATCATTATATATCAAACAGTTTGGTTCAAGTCACGACAGCCCTGACAACCTTGTATAGAAATTTTTCTCGTACGAAAAATGCTCTCTCAAACTGTAAGAGAAATGAAAAACAAACTGTAAAACTGTATACGAGAGGGAATGAAATGAGAACGACTCCAATGCTTAAAAGGTTTTTTTTTAACATAATGTCTTGGCACTAATTTATTTAGTCCATGATAATGGCGGATGGGTTTTGGGGAAATTCTGTCATGATAACTAGTGGATAACATACTTTGCGGCAAGAATATGTGACCTTCCTTTGTTGAAGATATACCAAATATGTACCCTAATGGATACTTTTTCGAGTGCGTTTTCGTTTCCTTCTTCACACTCAAAAGGAAAGGATATGGGGTTTAACCCTTTGAGCCCTCACCACCGCTTTACCGGTGGTAGAGTGAAATGACGTATTGCCTAGCCACCGGTAAAGCGGTGTGTAACACTTGCGTTGCGTTTTGCGATTGGTTTAAACCTATTTTTACCGGCCAATCAGAGAAACCTTACCATTCTGACATCAGTAAATTTAGTGCAATATGGCTACTCCCTTTCACAGTGTTTTGGATAAAATTGGATCAATTTTTTAGCATGAAGGGTACAGAGCCTCAACCTGGCCCGTCAGGGGTGACATCGGGGACGAAACGTGCACGAAAACAACTGTATACAACGCAGCAAGTAATCGATATGCTGGATGATTTATCGGAAGTAGAGTACGATAATGATTACTCTGACAGTGAGGTAGAATTTGAATCGGATGATTCGGCCACAGACAGTGATGTTGAAAATGAACCACGGCCTGCACAATCAGCTGATCAAANTTACCATTCTGACATCAGTAAATTTAGTGCAATATGGCTACTCCCTTTCACAGTGTTTTGGATAAAATTG